GTCTCCTGGTAACCATCATTCTATTGTCTACTGCTATAACTCTGACTGTTTTAGATGCCTCAGATGACAGAAATAATGGAGTACTTGTCCTTCTGAGACTGACTTATGTCACATAGCATTTTTTTTTTTCCTGGTCCATCCATGTCGCAAATGCTACAATTTCCTTAAGGCTGAATGGCCTATTGATTCTAATAAATTAGTTGCCCATGTAAAGGATTAGTTCTAGAATTAGGATGACTAAAAAAAAGAAATATAAATTTTGTGATTAAAAGTAGTTACCAAGTAAACTTGCTCTGCTGGCCATGATGGAATAACTGGTACCAAAGCATCATTCTCATCATAAATAACCATAACATTGGAGAAAGTATGAAGCAACTATTTTCAGGCATTGGACCACAGTACAAGACTGTGATCCCTGAGATATGGGAAACTCAGGTGAGTTCCGCACTTTCCCTAAGTGCCAGGCTTGGGGACAATTTATGACTATGATATAGGGTGGTGGAGCCAGAGCACTAAGGTAAGGTGGCAGAAAAGACTTCAGGGATGGTAAAAAATAAAATTTATAGAGCAGATCAGAGGGAGGTAACTGTGCAGAGCCTGTCCTTGGTGGGCTTTGCAAGGGTGAACAAGGCAAGGATTACCAGAGAACAGCTACAGTAGGGTTGAGAGAACAGAAATACTAGAAGTTGAGCAAGGCTGGCAATTGTAGAAGTTCTGACCCACCCAGAATAGACAGATTTCATTAACGCCTCAATGTGAGAAACCAGAAAGGCCATGCCATAGGAGCAAAAACCACACCTTAAAGAAAGATCTTCCCTAGATACCCTCTAATAGAAACTAAAATAAAGACTTAATGTTTGCATGGGTGAAGGAACTTGAAGTTTGAGTCCTGCCAAGTGAGAGGGGCTTGATAAATACCTTGAATTTTCAAAGATCTACCCCTACAAAGCATAAAAGGAAGGATACATAAGTTCAAAATGACCAGTCAGTAATTAAACTACCTACAACAAAGAACACCCCTCAGAGGAACATAGAATTTAGTCGTCAACAAAAATTCCCAGTATATAATTTTTAAACTGCTGAACACATAGAGAAACAGGAATTATGACCCATAGTCAAGAGGGAGAAAAAAGCACTTAACAGAAACAGATTCTGAGATGGCCCAGAGGTTTAGCAGATTTTACAACAGCTATTATAAATATATTTTTAAAACCTATGCACTTAATGAGTGAACAAATGGGGGGAAATCTCAGCTAAAAGGCAGAAATTATGAAAAAAGAACCAAGTAAGAATTCTAGAACTGAAAAGTATAATAAATAAAATTTAAAAATTCACCAGATGGGCTTAAGAGATTGAATATGGCAAAAGGAAGGTCAGTGAGCTTGAAGTCAAATCAAAAGAAATTAACCAATCGGACAGAAAAAAATACTAGAGAAAATTGGACAGAGCCTCAGTAAACTGTGAGACAATCAAACAGTCTAAAATATGTATAATTTGAGAAGACACAAAGGGAGAAGAGATTGAAAAAGAGGCTGAAAATTATTAAAGATACAACAGCCAAATTAAAACAGTGGTAATTAGGGTGCGAGAGGGGAAAAGTGGGGTCACTTAAATGATCAATTATCTAGGTTACCAAGACCTTTCTGAAAGAGGATCCTTCATGGAAGGGGCACCCTGGTTCCTTATCTAGCTGTGAAGCTGGCGGCCATCATACAGATGGTAACATTTATTTGAGATGGATGTCTTTGAAATGGGTGCCTTGGCAATCAAAAGCTTAATGTCAGGTGCTTATGCTACAATGTAAGACTTATTTTTTTCTTTTCTTAATTTCCTTATAATACAACTAATCCTTTAAATGTAATGCCATAAGATTGGGGATCATAATATATATAAAGTTAAAGTATGGCACAGGCCATGAGACTGGGGTTTCTTGTCTCTTCACGGGGCACATTAGTGCCACTCTTGTTTCATGCACTGAAACCCATGATATTGACCAACTTGGAGAAGGCCAGCACTTGCCCATGATCATATAGTCAATTGGGACCAAATGTCCTAAGCCAAGCTTATTGGCTTAGAATATAAGAACGCAAGTAGGAGAGAAAAAGGTATTAATTAGCTCCCTCTGACACTCAACACACAATTTCTTGGGCAAGCTTGGACGTACAGGGTTGGTTCTCATTTAAGATTAGTTCAGCTGAAATAAATGCATGAACAGAGACTGTGTAAGCTAGAGAAGGAAACTGCTGTGTCAACTGCACTCGGCTCTCCCTTACCTAGACTGGAGCCAGCAGATGTTGTGGCTCCTCCTAGAAAGCTCCAGTTGGGTGATGTATTTTAGTTTGGAAAAATGGAATTCCTGCTCATAGGGGAAAAAAATGAATCAACTATAGGAAATAGTTTAAGCTGCCATTTCAGAACTCAGAGCTAAACTGGATGGGCAAGCCCAGAGTGTGGCACCACTGAAGTGGTGTGGACTCTCAGCAGTGGTAAAAGGGATAAGAGAAGGGAACCTCAGATTAGTAGACAGCACATTATCTACTCCTTATTAGGTGGATGAAAAATCTCCCCTACTTGAAGCAAGAATATCTAGGAACAGAATCCAACCTGGAAAAAAGGCCTGTAGTACACACACACACACACACACACACACACACACACACACACACACCTATCTACTTATTTTCGATTGTACATACACACAATAAAACAGACTTTCCTGGGGGGTGGGGAAGAGTCATGGGAAACACTGTTGCTGTCAAATCCAATCCTAAAGTAAAGGTCAGTTATGCCTGACAGCTGTTTCCTGCATTGCTTTTTCTGCATTTAAGGATTTAAACTGCTCTGTGAGTCAGTTTTTAAATCCTGGTACTTGGATTCCAAGACCATTAATTCCCATCTCTATCCAACCAACATCAGTTATCTACCATCTGGGTCCTATTCTGGCAATTATGGGGTTTACAAGAAAAAACAGAGTTCCAAATCTTGAGGTGTTTTGAATTGAGGACAACCACATAAAACATATACAGTCATAGTCTTTCTGAGTTTTAGGAATTTGGAGATTACTCAATCTAACTGTATTAGCTTTAAGGAGCCCTGAATGGGTTAAATCTTTGCTACCTAGTGTAGTCTGATATTGACAAGCTTCATTAACATCATTTGGAAGCTTGTTAGAAATGATGATGCTTGGGCTCCACCCCAGGCATGCTGACTCAGAATTTGCATGTTTACAAGATCCCAGATGATATGTATGCCCATTTGAGACGCACTGATGTAAATGATCAACCCTATGCAGTTCAGTAATAGCAACAACTAACCAACAATTATACTTTTGATTTTCCAAAACAGGGTCTTTCCTGCACATTATCACATGACACTTCCTTGGGATGAAAGAAGCTTTGTTACAAATAATGGATGCCAGGCCCCCATCCCAAACTCATAATCTTAGAAGTGGTATTCAGGCACTGTATTTTTAAAAGCTCCCAGGTACAGCCAGGGTCAGAGGACTCTCAAAAAGTCATTATAGGATAGAAACCAGGGATGGTCTTGTGAAAGAGTGCTGAGAATTTGGTCTTGAAGGATGGATAGGATTTAGAAGAGTTAGAGAAGAGGAGAAGTTCCGGATGAGGTATGAAGCGGGGCAGAGTGGGGTGGGAATTACTACAGGGAAGGAAGAGATGGAGAAACAGGCAAGCAGGAGTGTTTTTAGAAAGCAGGCAATCCAGATTTCTATTTGGAAATATTATTAAATGCTGAGAACTCTTTCAAATATGGAACGTGAGGGTGGCCAAACCAAACATCTGTTTGCCACATGTGGACAGCTTGATGGCATCCTTGCCTATATGCATGAAAAACTGGACAGATGCAAAACCATTCCCTACTGAAAAACACCGTAACTGAGCCCAGGGCAGTCTTCCCCGTGACTCAGACCCTGAGACTCTGACCTTGCTTCCTGCTCTCTTGCCAAATGCCTTTCTCCAATTTTTCAACTTGCTTATTCCCCTCAGGGGAGTTTAGACAGCCCCTTATCTTGGAAGTTTTCCCTAGTCTCTTACCGCCAGGACCCTGAGATCCCAGTTATCCTTGCCCTTCGCCTCACTGGACACTTAAACATGGAAGTCCTTGCATAATTACTTTCAACTTCCCTGCGTGTTAATAACTACTTTCTAGGTGAATGACTGAGTTAGTTACAGGTGGGGCTGAGAGAGAGGTCAAGAGAGGGTTCTCACTTATCCGGGACCAGAGCTGAACTGAATTCACTAGGAACAAGGAAGCCTAGGGTCAAAAGAAGAAAATAGAGGCAAGAGAAGAGAACAGATTCATCCTTCGGGAGCTAAGAAGGAATTTTCGAAAATTCTCGTCTCTTCTTGGCTCTCTAGGCCACGTGGGCACTTTCTTGGTCTTACAAGTTTCAGAAAGCATACCTAAATGAAGAGAATTGAGAGGGTGCCGGGATGCAAATTCCCTTCCACAAGTGAAGTGCAGCTTGCTCTCCCGCTCCCCAGTTGTGTTCCAGATGGCACCAGCGTAGCCCTGTCCTCGACCACAGCACCGAAAAAAGACCCAGACAGCCAAGCCGACAGCGGGCTCGGCTCCAAGCTATGGTCCAAGAATGAGGTTCCTTTCCCCCAAAAAGATGAACGAGTTTGCCCATAATTTTGTGTACTCCAATAGAGGAAAAAAGTCTCAGGGTACTCGCAATAGGATGTTCAGTTTGAGAACGTGCGCTCAGAATCCGGGTCAACCTTGCACTGACGAGATCCCGCGAAGAATGATGTACCGCTCCCAGCTTCGATCAGGGTTTGTGAGCTGGACGAGACCACGCCTGCCATGCGCTCAGAGAACACCGGGCACAGTTTTGTAACCCACGGCAGGAGCTGGAAATCTTGACTGCCGCTCGGAAGCCAAACCATGTCAAACCCAGGATCAGAACAGCAAATCCCCTGTTGGGAAGATGACGTCACGTCCGCACGCTGGGGGCGGGCCTGACACCGGATGCGGAAGTTACTACAGGCGTCTCCGGAGAGTGTGGTCTTTGAGGCAAAGGTGTGAGACAAGGGGACATAGCACAGCAGAGAACTTCACCCAGGGCCGTCTACATGTTTTGTGAACGTGGTTTCAAGAAAAAAAAAAGGGAGAATCCAAGTGCCACAGTGGCCATTAGCCAGTGACCGGGGAACGTCACCCAGAAACGGCAGCCTTGGAAGCCAATGGGAGCTGCTGGCCGCCAGCGCACTTCTGGGCGCGCCGAATATCCTGGGAGGTGTAGTCCCCGCTCCAGGTAGAGGATTCTGGGTAGTGTAGTCTCAGCCTGCTGCCGGAGAAGATTCCCCAGCTGGTGGCTGAAGTGACCCCTTGTTCTTTAGTGGCGCTGGTGAGACTCCCGCGGGACCTTTGCCGCACCCGTGTACTTCCTTGCGCAGAAAGGTAGGTCCTGAAAGGGTAGTCTGTGGGCTGAGGCTGGGAATAGTGCAGATGACGAAGAGCGGAGGTAGTGGTGGGGACGCGTTGTCGTGGCTCAGGCCGTGTTCTCTTGGATGTCTTATTTGGGGGTGTGGGCGCAGATTTCCGAGGGACGTGGGTGAAGCTCAGCTGTGAAACCCAGTAATGATGGGTGCTGGGCTCCTGCCTTTCGTCCTAGGATTCCTGTGGTTTGGGACATGGAGTTTGGGTCGAAAGAGCGATTTGGGGAGAGGGAGTCGCTCACGCCACAGTTTTGAGGCGTTGAGTAAGTAGGTTTTGGGGAGCCTGATATTTCCCAGGTGGTGGAGTGGGGTCCACCCCTCGGTCCATGTGTCTGGGGTTTTGGTGGATGGGGGCTGATAGTCTTACTTAGGGCCCAGCAACTCCTCCGATGTGCTGAGGCGGGGCGAGGAGCGGGCTTGCATGGCCAAATGTGCCTCGCCTGGACTAGGTGTTGGGAGTGGCCATTTTGGCGTTATCTAAGGGTCTCGATTTGGCAGGTCGCCTCTGGGATCGAGCCTTGGAGTAAGAGCTCGGGCAATTGGCAAGCTATTAAAAGGTCCCGGGGACTGTCACCACAAGCATCATGGATTCCCACATCTCTGGTGTGGCCATGCTTTGGGATTTTAAGTTTCACTTTTAACTTTTTATTAAGAGAAATTTCAGACAGAAAGTAGAACTCCATAGACCCATCACCCAAATTCAGTGCTTGTCACCTCATGACCACTTTTTATTCATTTCAAAATGGTATACTGAGAATCCTCATAACCCACAGTGGTTCACCATCACTGCCCTGTTTAAGAGCATGGCCTCCAAAGCATATTTCATCCATGCTCTGTCAATTATAGTTATGTCCCCTGGGTCAGAAGACTGACCTAACTGCGCCTCAATTTTCTTATCTGTAAAATGAAGATAATAAATTATACTTATTGGGTTGTGAGAGTAGAAAGCGGTAAAACTCATACAGTGCCTGGGACAGTCTCTGTATGGTATATACTGAGTGTCAGGTAGGTATTAACTTTCCTTATTAAGAGCTCAGGGTCAGCATCGGTAGCGTGTCTGTGCAGGCAGTGTTCACAGTCTGCATATCAGTTCTGTTCCCAGCAAGCTGCCCACAGCCTTTTCTTTTGTGGTAGGTCCATTTCTGTTGCCTTAAAGGAAGAGAAGGCCCTACCCTGCTGAAACTTTAGGATTTCCAGTGACTCTCTTGAACCTTTTGTTCTTGTTCGGCCCTACCTATGACT